AAAAAAATAAAAATTGTGACGGCGCAACGTTGATGTTTACAGGCCCAATTGACCTTAATTTGGGATGGATATTTTTGTATTAAATGACAGATAAAAAAGCGATTCAAAATTCAAAAAAAAGTCTAATATGTTTAAAAATCTTCAAATTTCTTTCTTAGTGTACACGTGTTTTTCATTAAATTACTTCAATTTCAAGATGACAAATAAATTGCATAGTCACTTAGTTTTTCCACAAAGAAATTATAATTTATTTTTAGTGCAAGAGAGTCCTCTGCCACTGTTTGACATGTTTTATTTTTAGCACAATTTACAGTATTGATGTTTTAATTAATAAAAACTCTCCGTACGTGTAGATGTGGATGACAGTTACAGTGTACCCTGATTATTGATTTCTCAATTTGTTAGGATCTAAAATGGCATCATGGGAAAACTGTACCCTGGCATAAAATAGAGTTGAAAAAAATGAACCAGGAATGTACATACATGTACGTGTGTACATGATGAAAATGTAGACTTATACATATACATGTATGTACATGTACATGTACATGTACCTACAATGTACATTGGTGCATACATGTACATGATGTGCATGTACATGTATACATGTTCATCTGTACATTCCACATGTGCATGTACCTGTACAGTAACAAAATGTACTATTTGCTGTTGTACAATTTACAACAAACATGTATCATTTTCAGTACACACCTGCATTTCCAGTCAGTGTACAATGCACAAAATCTATCAAAATACTTCTTTTACAAAAAAGTATGTTTATACAGTAACAATATTGAAGGCCGAATAAATAAAAAAGACCCAGAATGCAGAAATGATCACTGGACTGTAGATAATTGAGTAACAGTCGCGGTTTTTGCCTTTTTTTTATGCGATCCAACAATCAAATTTTGCCAAACCCAAATTGGAAAACAAATTTGCACAATACGGCCTAATATGCATCAGACCATTAATAATAATCGTGTCTGTTCTTCAAGGCAAAAGCTTATTGTTTTTACCATAAATTGTTTGCCATGGTGATCAAAAGACACTCAACAGCCTCGAATTTAATTAGTTTTTTTTCCCAATAAAAAATTCCCGAGCAGATGGTGCTGAATTTTCTCGGTTTTCAAGCGAAATTTGACTGTAAAATTATTCCATTGGCATTATTACATAGCTCCAGCCTTGAGGAGGGGGAAAAAATCAATGAGGATAAAAGAGGAGACAAAAAATAAAGAATTTTTTTTTTTTAAAAGGACAGCATTGGCCTCCGAACCACAGATGGCAAAATTAATAAAAGAGCCCAAAAATAGGAATAAATTTGTAAATTGGAAAGTGGTTAAGAGCTTGCGTCGCCATGGATTTGCCTGTGTTGGGCGAGTCTTTCATGTAAGTGAAGATATGTAGTGAGCTAAATTATCTCTGGTTTTTAACTAATACTTAGTGTCTTGGTGATTTATGCATAATTTCATTAAGTGCTGTCTACTCTGGCCATTTGTCTCAACAAACACGTCAAGTCGGGACTTGCACTAAACTCTAGACCAGACGAGGCAAGAAAAAGTGGTATTTTAATTGAACATGCTGAAGAATTTTCACTGTGTACAATGTATGTAAATGTTTATGTAAATGTACAATACGTGTTCAGTTCATGATGTTGGAGTTTCTACGGCCTTCATAGACCATTTTCATGGATACCAGATACCGCCATCTTTGAGGTCACGTGCTACTCTCTCCATTTTCATATGTCCCACCATGCAGAGTATACAGTGGCATGATGGGATCTGTTTTCATTGAACTGCCCCCAGAAACAGAAGTAGCATTTTCCTCTACCTGGTATTTTGTGATGGAAATTTGAGTGACCCTCTGTTACAGTCCTTATGCTTCAAAGATTATGTTTGGTTGACTATGAAGTCTGATGCTGTCTTTATCCACCACTGTGTAGAATTTTTAACCATGGGGCTCTCGTGTGGTAAATACATGTAAGCGCCCTCTCTCGTTCGCTATATGGGACTTGGTCCTGTTCTCTGAGCTACTCGTTTGTGAAAATTAAGCATGTTGCCTAGCACATTCATAAATCTCTCAAAACATTTGCATGACAGTTGCAAAATGTCCTACAAATGTATAGGGGCCCTACCGTAGATTTTAAGTTATATGTTCGCTTCCTTGGGGTGATCATTCCAATATTGGGTTTCAGTACACAAAACCGGTACATGATCTTGTTATCCTTTATGACTGAGGACTTGGGACAATGGGGGATTATTGAGAACCGAGGACCTGCATGGGCCAAGTCCTCGGAAGGTTTTCCTGTACAAACCTTATGGGAGATGTTGAGAAAAAGTTAAAAGTACAATGTACATGTACAAACAATAGGAGCAAAAGAAGGGAACAGTAGGAGGTCCTCATACTGGTAAGTACAAGATAACACGACTGTGTGATCTGATACACGGTACCCTCTGGAAACGTGTATAATAGGGGATGAAAGATTGTATCCACAGGGCAATTTCTATAGGTTTCTATAGAACCGAGGACCTGCATGGGCCAAGTCCTCAGAAAGTTTTGTGTACAAACCTTATGGGAGATGTTGAGAAACAGTTAAAAGTCTCCACAAGGTTATCACGAAATGGATTTTATTCAAAAATTAGGAATTTCCAAGACGGGTTGATGTGTCGCAAATTCAAGTATTTTATGTAAGGGATATTTTCAAGTCCGAATTTCAGCCAAGGAAATTAATTCCTGTTAAAATAGGAGCATTTTGAAACTACACTTTCAAACTCGAAAACTTTAGTACACGAAGACAAAGAAATGTCTCCACGAGGATACAAATTCCAGTATGGGTGTTTACATTTGTGAATCATTCCATTGCTAAGAAGACACTCTGTTTCAAGGAACTGACTCTACCTTTCATTTCTCCTGTATAATTTCCCTCCCTTTTAGATGCTTTGCAGGACAAACTGTCAGAGTCATTCATTCCCTGAAATGTAATACCTTTTGCGAGAATCATCTGTTTTCGTACCAGCATCTCTTATGCATGAGCGTACACCTTAATTATCTCAGAACAGAAAAAAAACCAAGTAATATCCTGTGCATAGTTAGCTGACAAAATAACCTGGGGTTTCGTTCCACAAAAAGAGAGGGATGACCAAAAAAAAAAAGATTAAAAAAATTCTTGGGAGAATTATGACCCAGCACTTAACCGGATCAGTAGGGAGAGGATTATAGAATTTGCATAATTTCTCCCTTTGACCAAATGAGGCTTGAAATTCTAGCCGGGGTTGAGGGTATCATGCTGAACCAGAATTCATTTTGTTTCGCAAGGAGCTGTACATGGCTGCCGACATTAACATTCATGTGATGTATGTTACAGCACGGTGCATTAAAATTTCATGCTTGTTTGATGAAACGACACAACCCTACCACGGAGTTACAGTACTTCAGTGCGAGTATGAACACAATACTGTATGATGTATCTATTACTTACATTCATTGATGTCATTTGTTACTGTGTACATTTTTTTGCATGCAGAAATGAGCCTCTGGCTAACTGGGTTGTGAAAAATGTTGTTTCCTTCAAACGAATTGTCCAATGTCTCTTTTTGTTAGTGATATTTTTATATATTTATAGGTGAGATTTTTGTCCAGACTGTAAAAATAGACAATTCTTATGACTTGAGACTTTACGTGGCTACTGGCTTAGGTTGAATGAAATCGTAAAGGGAGGAATAAGTACACTTTTAGCAACAATAACCACAGGGCTGAGATTGGTCAGGATTTTTCTGCGTTCAGGATTTTTTGCTGGATTTCAGGAATTTTGTTAAGAATCCAAATTTGAATTCTGGAGGTTGTACCGTAACGTAGGCCAAAATAAAAAGAGTTTTGCTTCCGATTACATGGCATTTGAAAATAAGTTGGTAGGTGGGATTTTTTTTTTTTTGCCGATTTGTTTTTCGTATGATCATATGGAGGTGTCTGCGTGTAGTCAAGGGTAGAAGGTAGTAATTGATGATTTTCGGGGTTTTCTCCTCATTTCCCCCCCCCCCAAAATAAATTAGGGTAGGGGCTGTCAAAATAGGGTAGGTAGGGTAACCGGAAGCAGAACCATTATTTTTTTGGTCCTTACATGTACATGTAGGTGTTTTTACCTATAAACGTTTATGGCCTTTAGATCAGAAGGAATTGGTATGTCGTTAGGGGTGCCTTTAGGCAAATTTATCCCAACCTATAGGCCCTATAGGATCCTCACACCCTCTGCCAATTATTTTTGTGGATTTTTCATTTTCTCCCAATCTCACCCCTGTTACCATTATCAATCAGGTTTTTTATTTTTATTTCAAAACAACAGTTCAAAGAAGAGATTAATTATTGTGTCTTGTGTAACCGTAAACCTTTGCTTTGTCAACAAAATTTCTTGTCGGTCTAAAAATAACGGGGAAACTCACTTTTGCATTTTTGTAAGACGGTGGATTTATTGTGCAAGGGAGCACGACCTTTTTTCCCTGTCATTCGTTGAAGCACGATCACAAGTTGTTACACGTCCACATACGTTGTATTTGTTGGGTAATGCAATATGTTTTTCCATGTTGGCAATATTGTTATTTGATTTATGTGACGGGAGTGCTTGTCACATGAGGGGCCTCTTGCAAATTACGGTCATATTTCAAGATAGTCACGGTGTGAGCCCGGCAATTTCTTTTCATTTCTTTTCCTTATTTTGTTTTGTGCTAATTTTAGATGCACGTACAGTATGTTGTTTGTTTTTTCCTTGTGCCTTAAAATAGAATCAACTTGGAAAGTGTCGGGGAAAGTGTTACCTGTAACATGTTACATGCTTGTGAGATTATCCTGAACTTTCGCCAATCTATCAGGAACCAACATCTGGTTTGGCCTGATTTAGATTTATTCAGTACTGATGAATCATCAATAAATTGTGGTATTTTTATTAATAATATTTAGAAAAACAAATTTGTAACCATACCCTGCAACTTTTTTCCCCATTTTTCATTCAGGTAGATGATCACTTGGATGTCAAAGCGTTAGAAATGATTGCCATAGGAGGACAAGGCATGGGTAAGTTAAGAAAAAATAAGAAAGTATTGTCTGTCTTTTGTGTCTGTTTTTTGTCTTTTGGTTTTTTTATGTATATTTCTTTTTTCAAGTTGAAATTTTGGTTTTTCTGTCCCATGTTTTTCTTTAGTCCATTTTGATGATTTTGTTATATACCGTTACGTCTTTGAAGTACATGTAATAAGTCTGTAGAACTGTAGAATAAATAAACAAATAACACATGTACACATGTGTTACTGTATCTACTGTGAAATTCTCCATTGATACCATTTACATGACATACATGTACATGTACGTGACTCCTTCAGAAAGCTGACTACGTCTCGGAGCAATCTCAACTATCAAATTGTCAGAATTACATACGATTAAGGACTATAAGGTCAACATTTTCATCCTCAAATATGACTGGGGCAGATTTCCCTTCACAATATTACTCCAAAGGTCAGAGATTTGTCCGTCTGCCTTGCGGATTTGGCACTTCAGAGTTAGGGAGAGACGGAATTCCTGGAATATCTTGCAGCTATTTGAGATGTTCTGGACTAATTTCAATTTCAGATTGGCAATGCGGTTGGGTCGTTAAATGTGAAAAAGACTGTTGTTACTCAAGAAATTTGCATGTAGACTCATAACGGGTTGAAGCATTGCAACATTTGAACAATTATTAAGGACTCATTGTTGCGAATTTTGTTATTGGAAAGTTAATTAGTTGGAAAAACTTCTGTGTAGTTGCTGGTTACGTTTTGTACATAGATATATTTTTATGAACATAATATGTTATATTTGTTAGATGTACACATGTACATAAGTATGTCCTTGATGTAAATGTACAATAGAAACGTATGTTCCATGTGAATTAATTTAAAAAGCTTAACCATACATAAAACAAACTTGCAGTTTGTTTCACTAAAGCGTGAGTATGTAAAATAATTGAAAAAGTAAAAGTTTGTGTTTGTTACTGTTTACCACATCATTGAAGGGCTGTCCAGCCGACTCTGGCATGAATTTTAGTCATTCTCTCCCCCGCTTCCTTCCTAACTACCAAATATGGCTACGATTGTCAAACATCCTTACAATGTTTCCTACGAAAATTGAGAGATAAAAAAGTTGTCCGGGTTAATACACGGTCTGTCGAGTGAAGGTCAGCTGGCTGTGCAGACGTGTCACTTCTCATGATATTCCAGATGTAATTATGGTAAGAATTGTTGGGATTTGTCCGGGCACATCGTTGGTCGTTTTACTGATTAGCCAGGGCCCAATTGCACAGCTCTGCTTACCATTAGTGAACAATTCACGCTTACTGTCGCAGAAAATTCACGCTTAGGGGTAGCGTATTTTGCAGGTTAGTTAGGACTTTGGCTTATAATATAAATGCACATGCGTACATTCCACAATTAAGGATGCTAGGGTTATTTGTTGCTAGCACTTTTAGCACAGAATGGTGACTGTAAGCAAGAAAATCTGTGGTTAGCAGGGGGGGGGGACAATTTCATGGCTCTGTTAACCACAGAATTCCACGCTTACGATCATCATTCTATGCTAACCACACTGGCAGAAAAATTCTGCGCTAACCTAGTAAGCACAGAATCCTTACTTTACGGCATGGAAGAATTTTTATTCCTCCATGGCAACGGGATGTACGGATGCGCAGAAGGCCAAAATTCCTCGCTAACCCGCTTACCGCAAGCAGGGACTTTTTTGCAACAGTACAGTAAGCAGGGATTTTTCGCTAATAGTAAATAGAGACGTGAAACTGGGCCCTGGTCATGTATCGGTACATGTACAATGGGTATATTAACATTAACTAATTAATAAACCTAAGACAAATCAAAATCTGAAAAAGAAATTTGTTAAAGATGCTCAAGAACATATTTTGAGGTTTCTGTAGATTGCTCTGAATCTTGAAAGTTTGTTTTGTTGACTTTTGAAATGATTTCCGGGTAATTTTGTTCTGGAATCTAACATTTTACTGGGCTGTTGGTTTTCATAAAGTAAGTCAAAGGTGCATGTTGGATGTGGCTCATCATACATTGCACAGTGACATTCCTCATGGAACTATTCCCATGCATCTTATGGGCTCTGTGCACAAGTACCCCCTCAACGGTAAGAAAGGGAGAGTTGGGGGAGACCACTGGGAGAGACATTCAAACGTATAACCGTCGGCGCCTGACGTCCACGAGAAGATGCTATGGCTTGGTGCACATCCAAAATAAGCTCCAAGCATATTTTCGCTCACGCGTATTTTTACGCGTATTTTCGCTCACGTGTCCCGTCGGCGGGGCTCTCGAAAACCGGTTAAAAAGCGCCCTCTGTTGTTCACAACAGAGCCCATAGTCAAATAAAATAAGAAGCAGAGCTGCCAACTCTCCCTGATTCTGCAGAAAGTTCCCTGAAAATAAACTAATCTTTCCATGTTCTGATGAACAAATTTGAAAATCTCCCTGATTATGGAAACTTTTTCCCTATTATGTTGAATGTAAAATTCTAAATGTCTCCCTGATTGTTGTACAAAATCTCCCTGATTGCAAGATGCAAATGTTGGCAGCTCTGAAGAAGGTCAAAATAAATAGTGCCAACTCAGTATTTACATACATTTGTACACAATGTATCTCCTTGATTTAACTGTTGTAAGCACGTGTATTGCAAACTTATCCAGTCCTAATCACCAAGGCACAGTTTTCACACCTTGTTCTCTGACACCACGTCATATACGTCATCGAGCAGGGTGATTACCTTTTTTAAGCACTCTCACAAAAAGTGGAAACTAATGCATACTGATCAAAAAAAAAAAAATCCAGCCCTAGGTTTTTGAGTTTTTTGGGCCACACACAGCTCATCTGTGAGTTGAGCTATGGGGGTCTGTGGGGACGTCCAATTATGGAACTGAATACTGCTTAGATCCCCTCTTTGAAATATGATGGTTGACAAGGGACACATCATCAGGAGTATTGGTAAAATAAATGTCTGGGCAGACTCTAAGTGTAACTGACAAGGAGCTATTCGTCGGTGATGGAAGATGTAACTAGAAAAAAAAAAAAAAAAATGTACAGTTTTGATTATAAATGCACAGCATCTTATACTATAGGCCTAGTTAACACACTTGTACATTAGGTACCTGTGCATACTTGTATACCTGTGCATACTTGTAAAATATCTCAAGAAATTACATGTACCAGTACATGACTACATGTGCACACGGATATGTGTTAATGTATCAAACGTGCATGTACATGTAGGTTATTTACATGTATCTGAAAATACCTGTACATTTTTGTGTATCCTTTGCACATGTATACTGTACATGTACATGTAACATACATGTACCCGAATGGTACTACATGTATCTACACATGTATTTAGGTGTGTACATGTACATTGTAAGCATTCCATCTCTTAAATATATTACAATTCATGGACTCAGTCACTTCCGTTTTAAATAATCGACATGCATACTAAATAATTGCATTTTGATTCATTATGTTTTCCCCACACATGTTCACCATAAGCCAATTAATTTCCCATGTTACCTAACTTAAAAATGAAGGCACTCAAATTGTACGGGGAAGAAATAATTAAAATAGTGCATGTATGTTGCACGGATACTGTGACGAACAAACGACCTGTCAATTATGGTCCGAAGAAGCTGACTTTTTTAACTGTATACATGACGCTAACGTCACCGGAGTAATGTGTGGAAAAAATCTACCAGCTGGGCGCGCAGAAAATGCCACAATTTTCCTCGCCGGCTTGGAATTTCAAAAAGGGCAGTCTCGGCACGGCTTCCATAGTTGGGCAAGAAGGCGAGCAAATGAGCTGGGTTTATAGAGTAGAGTAGGTAGATCATGGTAGGCCCAATAATCGTTAAATTACATGTATGAATTTTGTTGCTGTTAATACTTCTGATTTGTGTACACGTATTACAGGTACATGTACATGTACATGTTCATATGGAAAATTTAAATCAGTCTTTTAATGAAATTAAAATCGATTTTTAAGAGTCCAAAAAAAGAGAAAACAGAAAGACAGTTGTACATTGTGGAGCGCTGTGGTGCAATGGTTATTGTGTGCTACTCATGTGTCGTGGTACGTGGGTTCGAACCCTGACGGGGAGCATGGTGCTTGTGTTCTTGGGCAAGACACTAATTTAGTATAAATGGGTACCGGAACCTGTGAAAGTAGAGACCAGAATACGCTGATCTCAAGCACTGCAAAAACTGGTCTCATGGCCTGATAAACAGGGGTAATAATTATGAAGCGTTTTGAGAGCTTTGGTATAAAGCATTTTATAAGCACCATATTATTATTTTTAAATTCTTGTTGAGCTCCTAGAATAATTCCAAAATTTTAGCCCTCCTGATGTGGAATCTACTTCAAACTGTTCTCTGTTTTGGAGGGTCCACACAGTAAAATTTTGATTCACAGAAATGAACTTTTGAAGGGTTTTGAAATAAACCTTATGTAAAAATGTTACTCTGGGAAACCACTCGTAGCTTACACAATTTTCAATTTTTGAACCGAAAACCAATCTTCACAATTTATTTGAAATTGAAACAAAGTTACTTTAAACCACCAAATTTCAGAGAATAAATACGCAGGTAACTGGTGCCAAGATTTTATTTTCCCATTTATTGGGGATTTCCAGTGACCTTTGAGTCAGCATAATTGGTTTGACTTTTCCTGGAAGGAAGCTGAAAAACAAAGGATATTTGCGAAATTTGATCCAACACAGGAAAAATCAATGTTTGTTCTGCGACCCAACAAAACATATCTGTTTTTGTTCAATATTTCCAATGTACAAGTTTTAGGTGTTTCTGATGAAATATCCGAGGTACATTTTGCTCAGTAGGCTGTTGTATATTGTTCATTTACAAGCATTTGCACTGTGCTGTCGTCAGGAAAGTTTCTTCAGTTGTTTTCTTCTTTCCTTCATTGAAGATTCTATGCAATAAACCAGAATGTCCTACATTTTTCTAGTTACTATTCCCTTAGCCTGGCCCCAGGTCCCC